GATCCTGCTGAGCAGACAGATGACAGTTCTCTGTCCGCTGTGCCGCTGCTTGCAGAGCAGACAGAGACACTGCCTGCTGATTTCAATGGGAAGGTCAGATGGAAACAAACCACCTGTCTGTTTCCACCTGATTATCATCTGATCCACTGGATGGATGGGGAACGGATCCCCATCTGTCTATTTTTTTGGTGTACAGGATCAGATCGGATTCCGGCGGGTGTCAGTGGACTAGTGTCCGCTGACATCCGCCCAGGGGCAGACTGACCATTTGGAAACTTGGGCACTGCCCGAGGGCCCGGGGTCAGTAGGGGGCTCCATGAGATGCCCCTGGTACCTTTTTCATAGGCTTTTTTGAGTTTGGGCAAGGACACAGGGGCCCCATGATCTCCTATTGCCCGGGGGCCCCATGAGTTGTCAGTCCGACCCTGCACCCACCGGTCCATAGAAGTCCATGGATGGACCAATCGGGCCTGCCTGAAACATGGAAAGGGGAACCCCATTGGTCAACTCATGTGACAGGGGCCTAAATGGTTAAAAGGCCTCTGGCCTCTTCCTTCTCTGCCGTCAGTAGGCCACTTTATGTCTCTTTGAGCTTACCAGTCATTAAAGTCAGACAATCCAGGAGCACACGAGCCATGCCTATGTATTGCTCACCGGTCCTCATTTCCAGTATGCCTAATTTAACAGGTATTCCTTTTTGTTGTTTATACTACAAAATTCAAGTTTTCTTCATTTTATATCTCTCCGTCTTCCTCGCCAGGATACGCCATCCTGAACCCAGAGCAGCTGCTGAGAGTGGAGGGGGTGAAAGAGTCTTCACCAGCCAGAGAACAGATTATAGAACACAAGAACCATAATGTCATCACAGCCGGTAAAGCTTTATTATAGGTCTGTGATAAACCACAACCCTTTAACCTATTCAATATTAAACCTCATACACTGCAAACTAAGAGCTTTCTATGTTTTACTATGGACACCTCTGTACCAGGACACTTTTATTATCACTACTGTCCACAATCCGAATAATATATATCTGTACTTCCTAGGAGCCCCGATGTTTAACTCTGACATCTCCCTTTGGATCCGCGAGGTGGTGGAGGAGGGCGTGACCCAGCCAGAGAAGCCGGAGCAGTCAGCGGTGTGGGAGAGTCCCAGCTCAGGTGTTATTTCATAGGATGAACCACAAAATACTTTTTTCTTTATGTTATTAATTTAGTATATAGCACCGACGTATTCCACAGTGCTGTACAAGAAACAGCGCACCAGTCACATCAGTCTCTGCACCAGAAGAGCTTACATTTTAGTGTCCCACCGCAGCTGCACAGCATTAGCGTATTATTTATATATATAGCTCTGACATATTCCAGAACTCTGCACAGAGAACACTGAGCCATTGACAACAGTCTCTGCAACAGAGGAGCTTACACTCTAATATACCTCTTAATTCTGCTGAGAACCGTGGTTGTCCAAAAGTGGAGTGCGGTGGGTTGGAGGAGATGATGGACCATTTCTTGCTTCAGTGCCCCTTCAATATGGAAGTCTATAAGCTGGTGGGTGGGGCTCTGGGTATCTTTTTCCTTTCCCGCTTGAGTTACACGGAGTGGTCTTACGGAGCCTTTCAGACTCACCGGGACTTTGATTTTGAGACACTTTTTCTAGTTAGCTTAGTAGTCCGTTACTACACGTGGAATGCACGGTGTCAGGTTTCCATTCTCAAAAAAGTCCTTCCTGTCGAGGTGGTGGTGAACAACATTCTGGGTGAGGTTGGGAAGATTCGGGGTCTTGAGAAGGACAGGTGGCAGCCCGGAGCCTGTACAAAGGCGTGGTGGAATGTCAGTTTCCTGTAGCCGCTGTTTGTCAGTCTCTGGGGGCGTGGCTTCTCTTTCTGTCCTCTCACGTCTCCTAGATTTTTATAAGATCAGATTTTTTTTTTTACAAAAGGCTGCATGCTCGAGATAAATGTTTAATTATTATTATTATACAGGATTTATATAGCGCCAACAGTTTGCTCAGCGCTTTACAATATAACGGGAGACAATACAGCAACAATACAGATCAATACAAGAGGGAAAGGAGGGCCTGATCCTGGGAGCTTACAATCTAGGAGGGAGGGGCTGGTGGTAGAAGATTCCATTATTAGCTGAGGGCAGGATAGGCTTCCCTGAAGAGATAGGTTTTCAGAGATCGCCTAATGGTTTCTTAGCCTGAGGGGGTGTTTAGGTTAAGGTAGGGTTTTCTGAGATACATTATAAAGATAATAATAATAGTAAAATGTGATTGGTTTTGTTTTGTTTTTTTTTTTCTGGCATAAAATCAGTTTATTGTTTTCTATGCTGAAGTAAGCTATTTTTGTTAAAAAAAAAAATATATATATATATATATATATTATTATTATTTTATTTTGTATATATGTAAATATATTTTTTATTATGTTTTTGTTTGTAAGATTTTTAATAAACAAAAATTTACACTCTAATACCCCCCACAGTTACACACTATTATTATTATTATACATTTATATAGCTTTGACCTATACCAGTGGTCGGCAAGCCGCGGCTCGCGAGCCACATGCGGCTCTTTACAAGCTTAAATGCGGCTCTTCTGTGTGCCGGGCGCCCGCTCCCCTCCCTCCTCTCCCTCCTCTCGGACGGGGCGTGTGCAGGGCGGCCGCCCCCTCACCTCCCCTCCCCTCCCCTCCCTCCTCTCGGACGGCCGCCCGCTCCCCTCCCTCCTCTCGGGCGGCCGCCCCAAAAGTCAGGACTCTGCAGCTGTCAGGATGTAGGCGGGGCAGCCAGGATGTAGGCGGGGCAGCGTGACGAACTCCTCTCCTCTCACAGTCCGCCCTGAAGACCAGAACGGCGCGGGAAGCACGGCGAGAGGAACGCGCGGAGCAAAGGTAAGTGAATTGACACAGGGGGGACTTACTATATGGGGGATGAATTACTATATGGGGGACTTACTATATGGGGGGACTTACTATATGGGGGATGAATTACTATATGGGGGACTTACTATATGGGGGGGGACTTACTATATGAGGGGGGACTTACTATATGGGGGACTTACTATATGGGGGATGAATTACTATATGGGGGATGAATTACTATGGGGGGGATGAATTACTATGGGGGATGAATTACTATATGGGGGATGAATTACTATGGGGGATAAATTACTATATGGGGGATGAATTACTATATGGGGGATGAATTACTATGGGGGATGAATTACTATGGGGGATGAATTACTATATGGGGGATGAATTACTATATGGGGGATGAATTACTATGGGGGATGAATTACTATATGGGGGATGAATTACTATGGGGGGATGAATTACTATGGGGGATGAATTACTATATGGGGGATGAATTACTATGGGGGATGAATTAATATGGGGGATGAATTACTATATGGGGGATGAATTACTATATGGGGGATGAATTACTATATGGGGGATGAATTGCTATGGGGGATGAATTGCTATATGGGGGATGAATTACTATGGGGGATGAATTACTATATGGGAGATGTATTTTCAGTTTAAAAATGTGGCTCTCAAAATAAATTTCAATCGTGGTTTTGGCGAGATTTGGCTCAGTTGAAAAAAAAGGTTGCCCACCACTGACCTATACTGTAGTGCTGTACAGAGAACACTGGACTGTTCATGTCAGTCTTTGTACCAAAGGAGCTGACATTCTAATCTCCCACCACATTCACACACTGTTATTACATATTATTATTATTATACAGGATTTATATAGCGCCAACAGTTTGCTCAGCGCTTTACAATATAATGGGAGACAATACAGCAACAATACAGTTCAATACAAGAGGGATAGGAGGGCCCTGACCCTTGGAGCTTACAATCTAGGAGATATACAATATAGCGCTGACATATACCACAGTGCTGTACAGAGACCTCTGAGCCAGGCATATTAGTCTTTGCTCCAGAGGAACTTACATTGTGATGTCCCCTCACAGTCACACACTAATATTAATATACATTTATATAGCTCTGACATATACTAGAGTGCTGTACAGAGAACACTGAGCTGGTCATATCCAGTCATTGCACCAATTTGCACTTTAACCACCTCAATACCGGCACTTTTACCCCCTTTATGGCCAATTTTCAGCTTTTGGTGTTGTCGCAGCGATTAAAGGATAATTGAAAGGGACAAAAAGCACATTGCGCAGGATTGTGACTCAGAATAAGAAAACAAATGCTGCAAAAGTGATTGTGTTATCCTTTAATCACTGCTCAGAGAGAAGAATTATCCTATACACACCTAACTCCCCTGCACCTAACCTCCTACAGTTGCCAAGATTACAGGGAGGAGAGAACACATTCTTTACAGCTCAGTCAAAATCATCATCCTATCTGCTTCTAGATGCCTGGCACCTAACCTCCTACATCTTCCATGGTAACAGGGAGGAGAGAAAACAAAGTAAAGGTCACCTTTGGGAACATGTAACATGTTCCCGCTCCTGCAGCCGCATGGTGATCAGGGTCCCCTGTGTGACAGCAGTACTGGGAGAGGTTCTCCGTATGAGCTGTCACTTTTTTGAAAACAGTGCTGCACCCCACACGGCCACGTCATTCATTCACAGAGTTCTGCGGATCAACTACAAGTACCGACATCCTTTGCGGCACTTTTGAGCGCTGTGGTAGTTCATTGATTCTTCAGGTCAATGTGAAACGATGTACAGACAGACAGATTACACTGACAGTCTGCAGGAGACCTGCATGGCACCGACATTTGCTGATCGCTGGTGCAATACTTTCTAGATTACTTCGAAGGAAAAAAAAAGATTAAATGCACATTTTTTTCTACCTGCTAAAAGATGTGCATTTATTTATTTATTTTTTTTAAAGGTGAACTTATCCTCTTCACACCAATACGGAAATGGAAACGCTGTGAATCCTGTGTGTTTCCCGCACCGCATTGCAATCACATTGCGTTCATGCGATCTGGTGCTTGCGTCAATGATAAATTGACCACTTCCCATCTGCCAGTTGTATATAAACGGCCGAACGGTGGCAGTGCAGGGTTGGGTGGCCGTTTACAAACGGCTTCCCCACACCGTGCTTGTGCGTGCTCCCTGGGAGCATGCAGCACAGCGATCCGGTGCCCGCTGTGTCCTCGGAACACTGATCGTCGGATGGGACCTCTGTGTGAGGTCCCGATCATGTGATCACTGATTGGCCAATCAGTGATCACATGCAGAGTAGTAAGCAAGTTGTCACTTGTGACATTATTATTATTATTATTATTATTATTCAGTATTTATAAAGCGCCAATAGTTCGCTCAGCGCTGTACATTACAAAGGGGGACAGAACATGTGACAGAACAATACCAATACAATGCAAAACATGAGGGGATCGAGGGCCCTGCTCTTTCAAGCTTACAATCTAGGAGGGAGGGGATGGTGGCACAGGAGGAGATAGCTGTGGGGGATGGAGTGGTAGGAAGAGTGGAGGAGGTCGGCAAGTTAGCAGGGGGCGGGGTATCATTGCTTACTATGTGTGAAATCTGTGAATGATCACAGAGGTCACATGGTAGAAGGCTATTCACAACAGCCTTGTACCATGTGACAAGCTGTGACCAATCACAGCTCACAAAGTAGTTCTCGATGGCTGCAAGAATGCAGCCAGAGAGAAGGAGAAATTATTGCTTTTACAGCCTTTATGGGTGTAAAAGCAATCCGTGTAAAAAAAAAACAAAAAATCTTCATCACCCCCCCACAAGTAGTACAGTGTCACCATGGTGACACTGTACTACTAGGGTGACAGTATGTAAAAAAAAAAACATAAATAATAATATAAAAAAAAAAAAAAGTAAAAAAAAAATGTTTAAAAATTATAATTTTTGGTTATAAACTAATTTGGGTTATTTTTTTTCGTACTAAAAAGATAACGGAATACATTTTGGCCAAGATTTATGATAAAATATTATTTATTTGCAAAATTTTATAAGAAAAACACTTTTTTTCAAAGTTTTTGGACATTTTCATTTGCATAGCAAAAAAAAAATAAAAATCCCAGTGATGAATAAATACCACCAAAATAAAGCTTTATCTGTCTCAAAAAATGCTAAAAAAATTCATATGGGTACAGTGTTGCATGACCGCGCAATTGTCATTCAAAGTGAGATAGCGCTGAAAGCTGAAAATTGGCCTGGACAGGAAGGGGGTGAAAGTGTTTGGACTGGAAGAGATTAATGACACCCTCGAAACAGATTGCAAAATGCGACGTGATTGCCAGAAATCACATCGCATGGGTGAGAACACCCATGCGATGCGATTCAGGTGCAGATTTAAAGCGGTAGCAAACCGCAGACAAGAAAACAAAAGTCCCCTATAAGGTATTGCCATAATGTGCTAATATGCAATGAATACTAGCACATTATGTAAAACTTACCTGAAAACAAAGCCTTCCAGCAGCTCGCTGTCACCACTGCCATCTTCCCCCGTTTTCCTTTGGGTTCGCAAGCTCCGGCCATCTAAAAGGCCGGACCGCAATGAAGTCCCAGACCACGGCGCACAGCTCTGAAGGAACGGCACGGATATGCGCATGCGCCGGCTTAAAAAAGAATATCTCCTAAACGGTGCACGTTTAGGGAATATTAATTTTACCTATAAGTAAGCTCATAATAAAGCTTACCTGTAGGTAAAATTATAAAAACTTTTACAACCACTTTAACCCCTCGCCTACCGGCACTTATACCCCCTTCCTGCCCAGGCCAATTTTCAGCTTTCAGCACTGTCACACTTTGAATGACAATTGCGCGGTCATGCAACACTGTACCCATATGACATTTTTATAATTGTTTTCACACAAATATAAATTTCTTTTGGTGCTATTTAATCACCACTGGGTGTTTAATTTTTTTACGCTATAAACAAAACGAAAAGAGGAAAAAATTTGAAAAAAAAAAGTTTTTTGTTTCTATTATAAAATTTTGCAAACAGGTAATTTTTCTCCTTCACTGATGTGCGTTGATGAGCCTGCACTGATAGGCAGCACTGATGGACAGCACTGATGAGGTGGCACAGATAGGCAGCACTCATGGGCACTGATTGGCAGCACTGATGGGTGGCACTGCTGGGCAGCACTGGGTGGCACTGCAGGGCACAGGTGGGTGACACTGATGGACACAGGTGGGTGGCACTGCAGGGCACAGGTGGGTGACACTGATGGACACAGGTGCGTGGCACTGCAGGGCACAGGTGGGTGGCACTGCAGGGTACAGGTGGGTGGCACTGATGGGCACAGGTGGGTGGCACTGCAGGGCACAGGTGGGTGACACTGATGGACACAGGTGCGTGGCACTGCAGGGCACAGGTGGGTGAAACTGCAGGGTACAGGTGGGTGGCACTGATGGGCACAGGTGGGTGGCACTGCAGGGTACAGGTGGGTGGCACTAATGGACACAGGTGCGTGGCACTGCAGGGCACAGGTGGGTGGAACTGCAGGGTACAGGTGGGTGACACTGATGGACACAAGTGGGTGACACTGATGGACACAGGTGCGTGGCACTGCAGGGCACAGGTGGGTGGCACTGCAGGGTACAGGTGGGTGGCACTGATGGGCACAGGTGGGTGGCACTGCAGGGTACAGGTGGGTGGTACTGATGGGCACAGGTGGGTGGCACTGATCATCAGTGCCCTGATGATCAGTGCTGATCCCTTCACTGACAATTGCCAGTTCTCGGCAGTACTTTCCTGACACTGTGACAGCTTAGGGAAAGTGCAGCCGATAACCGGCAACTGTATTTACCCGGTGATCTGCTGTGTCATTGGACACAGCTGACCACCTGGTAAAAGGCCACCGTGATTGGCTGTTTACCGTATCACGTGATCAGCTGTGTCCATAGGACACAGTGATCACCGGCAGCGCCAGGTGCGCACCGCTGGGGGCGCGAAGGGGGCGTGTTCTGGAATGACGTCCATGGACGCCATCCCAGGATAACACAACCGCGCTGTAGCCATCCTTCGGCTATAGCGCAGTTCAGAACCAGTTGAAAAAGAGTCCTGCGCCTTTTTGATGTGGATGGATGCGATTTGAGCTTTACAAAATGTATGGCTCAAATCGCACTGCACATATATTTGCATGTAATTCGCACAGAATGCGGTGCAATTCCTGTGCGAATTCCATGCGGTGTCCTGCACTGCATAGTGTGAACCCGGGCCTAATGTTTTCACTCCTCCCTGTTACCATGGCAGCTGTAGGAGGTTAGGTTCAGGATAGTTAGGTGCAGATAAGCATTTTTCTCACCTCACTGTTAACATGGCAGCCATACTTCTACACATGTAGATTTTCAGACAAGAATATTTGTAAGAAAAGTCACACGAAAATTCTTTGAACATTTGATGAATGGATAAATGTCGTTCAAAAATTGTCTCTTGCTTTTAACATTCGACTTTAAAATGAATGTCATTTCTGAACAATAACCACATACAGTGGCTGAAAATTCATTTGATCGAGAAAAGTTTCCCTTCCTGTCCCTTCGAATTTTACCGTCACTGCTCATGAATACGAACATCGATTTGACCCCACCAACGATTAGAAAATCAAACGAATATTCTCGAAATGAAAATTCTCAAATGAAAATCCATACGTGTATGGCCAGCTTTAGTTGCGGATAGGATAATTGTTTGAAATGTTTATAGAATGTGCTGACTGTGCTATGCTTACACAGAGGTCTCCATCCTGAAACCAGATATCTGTCTGAGAATAAAGCCGGATGAGTTGGTCTTTGAAGCATGTCCGGATCCGGAGCCCGGGGATACCGACAACGAGGCTGGTACGTAACTACCGGGGTCAGGCTAAGGTGGCTAATGGCTCGTTCAAGGGCTGGCTTACATATATTTTAATTATCTGTGGAGTTTGGTGGGATCAGTCACCCCTTGGCTTCTTCTATCTCTTGGTGACTCCAACCCTGAGATCCTGCTGACTTTATCCCTGGATGTGTTAAAAACGTGAAGAAATTCAACGCCATTCCAGCCAAACTCCAACCATTTCTTTTTTATTTAGTTTTAGGGTTGTGGAAAGTTTGGCATTTCAGTGATCCTTTTCATTGACTAACTTAAAGCGGAGCTCCACCCAAAAGGGGAACTTCCGCTTTAAGGACTGCTTCCCCGCTCCCCATTAAGGATTGGCACCTTTGGAGGGTGGGGTGGGAGCGAGTACCTGAATTTGACATATACCCGCTCCCACTTCCGGTCCGATTGCCTAGGCCAGGGGTAGGCAACCTGCGGCTCTCTAGCTGTTGTGGAACTACATTTCCCATGAGGCATTGCAAAATTGACAGTTAAAGCTATGACTTGCAGAGGCATGATGGAACTTGTAGTCCTGCAACAGCTGGAGAGCTGCAGGTTGCCTACCCCTGGCCTAGGTGATCGGACACAGAAGGTGTCCTCCGTCCCCCCCTCCCTCCCTGTAGTCTTTTGGGACACGTGACAGGTCCCAGAAGACTACAGGACCATTCATGAAGCGCAGCACTTCTCGCGCATGCGCAGTGCGTATCCTGCTGTGAAGCCGCAAGCTGTCACAACCGGGGGGCCCACACTGAAGATGTCAGCTTCCTGGAAATACAGGACGGCTGGCGAAACGGGCTGCGGGGGACACACCACGGGACTGAGGGACAGGTAAGTGGCTGTTTTTTTAAGTCAGCAGCTACAGTTTTTGTAGCTGCTGACTTTTATTTTTTGACGGGTGAGTGGAACTCCACTTTAAATGATAAAAGATGCAATTTTTTGGGATGCCTTTGATTATTTTGTCAGGTTTTTTACATTTCAGAATATAAAGCCTGATGAAAGGATCCACAACATCCTGAAAATTTCTGCATTCATTTTATAATAAATGGTATGTTACACAAGAATATGGAATACTACATGATTTGCAGGTTCGAAAGTGACAACGTTTGAAAGCGGAATTGATGTACCATTTTTTTTTTTTTGCTTCCACTGTGTGATGAGACACCTAGCTAACAGGTGGGAAGCCTCTATTTCGTCATTCACTGCATAGGCTGCTAGTAATACGGAGTCATGTCAGAGCTTACTGAGCTTCAAAGAGGGCAAATTGTTGGTGCCGCTTAGCTGGTGCCTCTGTGACTGAAGTTGCCAATTTATTTGCCATGTTGCAAGAGACAGTGACAAAAGTTATGACGGTGTATACAGTTTCTGGGAAAACATTTGTAAGCATAAGCGCAGTCAACATGGTCAGCTGACCGAAAGAGGCAAAAGGATGTTGTGCGGGATTGTGACTCGGAATAAGAAAACAACTGCTGCGCAATGGGCACAGCAGATGTTCAGGCCCAGGAACTCTGCATAGGGATGATGGGAACCCCTCATAATGGGCACAGCAGGTGTTCAGGCCCAGGAACTCCGCACACGTATGGTGGGAACACCTCATAATGGGCACAGCAGGTGTTCAGGCCCAGGAACTCTACACAGGGATGGTGGGAACACCTCATAATGGGCACAGCAGGTGTTCAGGCCCAGGAACTCTACACAGGGATGGTGGGAACACCTCATAATGGGCACAGCAGGTGTAAAGACCCAGGAACTCAGTGCAGGGATGGAGGGAACCCCTCATAATGGGCACAGCAGGTGTTTAGGCCCAGGGACTCAGTGCAGGGATGGAGGGAACCCCTCATAATGGGCACAGCAGGTGTTTAGGCCCAGGGACTCAGTGCAGGGATGGAGGGAACCCCTTGTAATGGGCACAGCAGGCGTTCAAGCCCAGGAACTCAGTGCAGGGATGGTGGGAACTTCTCATAATGGGCACAGCAGGTGTTCAGGCCCAGGAACTCCACACAGGGATGGGTGGGAACACCTCATAATGGGCACAGCAGGTGTTCAGGCCCAGGAACTCCACACAGGGATGGTGGGAACACCTCATATGGGCACAGCAGGTGTTGAGGCCCAGGAACTCTACACAGGGATGGTGGGAACCCCTCATAATGGGCACAGCAGGTGTTGAGGCCCAGAAACTCCACACAGGGATGGTGGGAACACCTCATAATGGGCACAGCAGGTGTTGAGGCCCAGGAACTCCACACAGGGATGGTGGGAACACCTCATAATGGGCACAGCAGGTGTAAAGGCCCAGGAACTCAGTGCAGGGATGGAGGGAACCCCTCATAATGGGCACAGCAGGTGTTTAGGCCCAGGGACTCAGTGCAGGGATGGAGGGAACCCCTCATAATGGGCACAGCAGGTGTTTAGGCCCAGGGACTCATTGCAGGGATGGAGGGAACCGCTCATAATGGGCACAGCAGGCATTCAAGTCCAGGAATTCAGTGCAGGGATGGTGGGAACTTCTCATAATGGGCACAGTGGGTGTGCAGATCTGGAAACTCGGCACAGGGATGGTGGGAATCCCTCATAATGGGCTCAGTGGGTGTGCAAATGTAGGAACTCAGCACAAGGATGGTGGGGGCCCTCATAATGTTAATAAAAAATGCACAGAACTGGGAACTCGGTTCAAAAATCAGGCCAACAGAGTCCCCAAGAGATAAAAGAAAGTATAAGGTGGTTCATCTCTTTAGCATCCACCAAGAGCTAACATTTCAGGGTGGGCTGTTCCCTCCAAAGCCAGTATCGGTGCACAGAAGAAAAACATCTCAAGGTGATTAGACCCTCCCCCCTCTTATGTCCCAACAGGATCAGGCATCTCCGTCACCATAGAGAGCGATGCCGAACCTTTCTGGCTGAACGTCCAGGAGGCGGATACAGATAACGAGGAGATGCTGAGCGAGCACCATATGGGTAAGCGATGTCCTGTGTGATCAGGAAACATATTAGAGGAAACCATCTGATAAGGATGGAGGCTGTGCCATGTAGGTCTCAGCTTTAGGCAGCCTTGCTGCCTAGGATGCTGTACCATCCTAGGTTGTGGGGCTGTGTGTTTCTATTGATGCACACAGTGTGGGGATACACGGCTCTAGTCTGTGCATACATGAGTGGCTCCATAGGATGCTGCAAGAGAAAGGAGCCACCCTGAAACAGGAAACATGGGGCAGTTATCATGACACCAGCTTAAAATGGATGATAGGCAATGATTAAAAGATAATGAAGCTGCCTATTCAGTAAGTGATTATTTGAGCTCCTAAAAGTGC